TACTTGGGGGTTTTCGAGGTCGCTGGTTACAAATTTGATGTCAGTTTTTAAAAATAATAAATGACGGACCAAAAATTTAAAAAATTGAGGTAATTTCGTAAAAATGTCTACATAGGGGTTTTTTTGGTCGCTGATTACAAAGCCAATGTCAGTTTAAAAAAAAATTTAAATGGTTGATGACAAATCTCTATTTAAAATTGAAAATGGCGGATTCAATATGGTGAACAAAAATTGAAAAATGGTTTAGATTTGCCTGAAACTTGTTACTCGGGGGTTTTTGGGGTCACTGATTACGAATCTGCGGTTACTTTTTAAAAATTCTAAATAGTGGACCAAAAATCCAAAAAATTGAGCTAAACTCGTTAAAATGTCTACCTAAGGATTTTGCAGAACAATCTTTACGAATTCATCGTTACTTTTTAAAAAATCAAAATGGTGAATCTAAAATGGTAGACCAAAATATAAAAAATTGATCTAACTTTTATATATTGAACGTAAAAAAGTGCCATTTGAACTTATCAAATACAACGCCAGATAACTTTTTATGGAAATTACGTGAGGATTATTTAATTTAATAATCATAAAACTAGCTTAATTTTTTAATTCTATCCGCCATTTTGAATTTTAAATAGAGATTTGTCATCAACCATTTAATATTTTTTTAAAACTGACATCGGCTTTGTAATCAGCGACCAAAAAACCCCTATGTATCCATTTTTACGAAATTACCTCAATTTTTTAAATTTTTGGTCCACCATTTATTATTTTTAAAAACTGACATCAAATTTGTAACCAGCGACCTTGAAAACCCCCAAGTAGTAATTTTCACGAGTCTAGCTCAATTTTTAATTTTATCCGCCATTTTGAATTTCAAAAAGCGCCCAACGGAATTAAAAAGTAGACATTCCAAGCTAATTTTTCCAATATGATAAAAATTTTTTAAATTAAACCAATTATGGAGAGATGGGGTGGTCCGGTTGACAAAGAACGTCCCATATAATTTAATTAATAAAACACTTAAAACCTAATTAAATACAACTATATAGTATAATTAATAATTATAAAGTATAAAACCTTATTATTGATTATAGATCCGATTAAAATTCAATTTAAATCTAGCGACATGTAGGTATTAGAGCAGCGGTTTGTAAATTATCTAAGCATATGATAATTGTCCGATTGTCGCGCTTCTAAACTTTATTATTCAGACAAATGATAAGTAGCCAACGAGTAGTTGTCTTAAGTTTACCGTCGATAAGATTGGTACCTAAATTCAAATGTTATAAATCAACCTTTGTTCAAGACTTGAAAATGTATTAGTTATTACTGAAATCTGATACTTTGTACGTGCTTTCTATCTTTTAGCTCAAAAACGTGACTTCTACTTTTTTGGCTCTTGCACGTGTTTTACCCCCCTTAAATTCTATGCAATTAACTAGTATATAAACCCCTGAATTGTGAAGAACAAATGTCATTAACTTCGACGCATTCTTGTAATTCGTTAATTGTTAAGTTCGGCCCTTCAATCGTGTATCTTGCAGTTAGAGTCAGTGTAATTATCAAAGGAAATTCGTTTCTTTACCTAAAGTACGGAATAAAATTGCATAATTGAATCTAATTTCGACACTACATAATTGTCGTATAATTTCTTTGTATTAATTGTTTCTCTTTCGAATTCGGTGCAAGTTGATTCCGTTATGAAGAAACAATTTTCTTTTGTATCAAGGTACTGTAACGTGAATGCAACATTTAGAAAAACATTAATAATTGTAATAAAGTGTAAAAGTCATGTATATGAGTGAATATTAACGAACTGAAATCTTATAATTGCAACCTGTGTGGCAGCCGTGTTCAGCCGGTTGCAGCCTGCTAATTGTCAGTTGAATCTAAGATATTAACTGTAAGTACATCTAATTGTTATTCTATGAAACATTGAGACAATAAATCGTCTTAAAAAGGGAATGTGCATGTAATTTATTTAACGAGAACCCTTAGTTCTTTCAAAGTGACGCGACCCTACATTATAAATAAATGCAGATCTTACCAATCTGTTAATCAGATAAACTTGCTTCTCAATTATTTATTTAACAATAAATAAAGTCTACCATTGCTCGGGACGTGACTCTCATACATATATATACACATACTCCTTTTATTTAAATATATAACTAATTAATATACGTGAATTTTAAATGCAATCGGTATTGCCTATGGAAAGGGGCTATTGGAAAATTCGCGTAATAGTAAAAATGAAAATTTATATATGTCTGGATGTAACAGTCCTCCCCCCTTTGAATTAAAGTTTTGTTATGCGAATTTTCTAATATTACATTGCTTTGATGATTGATGATTTTCAAGATTGAAAACAGAAATTTGCTGACAGGAGAGTTTGTAGAGTGCAGATGTGCTTTACCAATATATGTGTGATGTTGAAGAAGGATGTGCAACGTCCGTGAAGCTGGCCGGAACATACCGTAATATGAAAATATTCACTACATGAGAATTAAGGGCTCATTAAGGGCTAATTAGGGCTGTGTGTCTTGAATTTTGGGCTTTTGATTTATTTAAGGAAAATGACACCCGGCTAACTTCATATTGAAGCTGGCCGGAAACACGCATAGCTTCTATATTACTGCTCCAATTAACTTCTAAGTGGCAGAAACATTTAGGGTTCATTAAGCCCTTTAAGAATACACTATATTATTAGTTGAAAAGTTTCAGTTTTTTAAAAAAAGTCATGGTTCCGGCCTGCTTCACGTTGAAGCTGGCCGGAAACACGCATAACTTCTATGGCACTGCTCCTATTAACTTCTAAGTGGTTAAAAAATTTAGGGCTCATTCAGGATTACTAAAAAAACGCAATTTCTTATTCAGAGCACTACCATTTTATAAGAAATTTCTTCAATAAAGATTTTTATGAATTTTAAGGTTTCTATTGTAACCGATATTATGATACCCGCCGCTTCTTCAACATAAAATGATGTAATTTTAATTGTTTTATTATAAGCAATGTTCATGTACGTATACAGCAGTGCACTCAATGATGGTAAAGTGTGTTGCATGTGAATTTAATGTAAAATTTTGTATTTAAATAACGTTTTATTGGCAATTATAATTTGCCGTAAACGTGACATATAAATAAATTTTCGAAATTCGAAATGCTTTACAAGAAAATTAATCTGGTTTGAGATATTTCTCACTATTAAACTTCTAAATACAAGTCTAGAAACAGGAGGTACAACTTCGGTAGTGGGGGTACAGGACAAATACGTAAGAGTATGGTCTTCTGAAATTAACCCTTTAACGACGAGATGTGCTGTTTTTCAACATAAATTTCAAACGCCTACAATTTGTAGAAAGAAGCCATAAAATTTTTCAAAAGCCCTTATCTTACTATTTTTGGGGTCGCTCTTTCGAATGGCGTGGTCAAAATTTTCAAAAAATGATATATAACCCTTCTTTTTTTCAAAAATACTAAAAAAAGTCAAGTTTTTTGAATGCAATTTTTTTTTAAATAATTTTTTTCTCCCCCATAACATTTTTTAAATAAAACAAAAAGTATCAGAAACATGTTCCCAATAGTTGTACTTGGAAAATAGCCGTTTATAATTTTTATTTTTTTCGATTTTGGATTTAAAATGGCGCTTGAAGGACAAAAAAATTTCCTAATTTTACTTAAGATCACAAACTTTTTCAAAATTGCTCAAATCTGATTGAAATTTGTTACACGGAGGTTTTTGGGGTTGCTGATTACGAATCTGAAGTCAGATGCAAAAAATTCAAAATGGCGGACTCAATATGGCGGACGAATTTTTTAAAATTTACTCCGATTTGCTTGAAATTTGATACTCGGGAGTTTTTTGTGTCGCTGATTACGAATCTGAATTCAGTTTCAAAAAATTCAAAATGGCGGATCCAATATGGTGGACAAATTTTGTGAAATTCATAGAATTCTGTTGAAACTCGTTACTCGGAGGTTTTTGGGGTCGCTGATTACAAACCTGAAGTCAGATTAAAAAAATTCAAAATGGCGGATCCAAAATGGCGGACTAATTTTTTAAAATTGCTCAGATTTGCATGAAATTTGATACTCAGGGGTTTTTTGGGTCGCTGATTACGAATCTGAATTCAGATTCAAAAAATTCAAATTGGCGGATCCAAAATGGTGGACTAATTTTTCAAAATTACTCAGATTTGCATGAAATTTGTTACTCTGGGGGTTTCGGGGTCGCTCATTAAGAATATGAAGTCACATTTCAAATATTCAAAATGACGAAATTATTATACTCTATTTATTGTGATTCTACCAGTAGCAAGTAATCTATATTTCACAATATATTTCAGAATCAAAAAGCTAACCACTGGAACTGCAGATATAAATAAATTGTTTAAAACTGATCTACCATAAAATCTTTACCATAAAATCTTAACCATAAAATCGCCGAAAAGGGGACTTGAAAAAATGCTAAATCGAAGTAGATTTAGCCTGAATATATTGGTCAATTTTCTTACACACCAAACTCTGGAAGGATTACTTTGATTTTCGGGGCTATGAAATTTTATTCTCGAAAATTATCGCGGGTCATTCAGATGCTATTGGTTCTGTTTTCAAATGTAGATCTTGAGACCAATAATCACGTTGAAGTATCCAATAAGTTGTAATACTGTTCACTATATCAAACTTATGTCTCAGGCTCAGCATAATTTCATTAAAATTTTTTTTTCTGTTTATATTATTTTCAATGAAACTCATAATCAGATTTTAATTTTCTTGAGAGTTGTAATTTTTATACAAGTTACTATATAATACAGCATTTTGCAAAAAGTCAAAACGATCTTCAGACTTTTAAATATCTTATTCAAATATCAATATTTTCATCGACTAAAAAGTAAATGATCACAGTTCATTTGTTTGTCAAACCTCAAAATTTTCATCGACTAACAAGTGAATAATCACGGTTCATTTGTTATTGCTAATTAATATAAAAAACGGCCATGAGATGTCAGTTACTGAATTAGAAGTTTTCATTGGCTTAATAATATTTACAATGTATAACCAAAGATTGTCTCAACGGGATTATTGGTCTCAAGATCCACATTTGAAAGCAGAACCAGTGGCATCTGCAATGACACGCGATAATTTTGAAAACATAAAATCAAAAATAAAATTCCACGAACCCGAATATCAAAATAATGCTGACAGAGAATGGCGTGTAAGAAAATTGACTGATATATTCCGGAGCAATCTAATTCGATTTGGCATTTTTTCAAGTTCACTATCCATCGACGAGATGATGTTAAGATTTTATGGAAGGTCAGTTTTGAAGCAGTTTATAAAAGGTAAACCAGTAAGGTTTGGAATAAAATTATGGGCTCTCTGCAGTTCCAATGGTTACCTTTTTGATTTTGAAATATATTGTGGCAAAATGGACAATAAAAGTGAAAAATTAGCAAACTGTACTCTTGGTAGTCGTGTTGTTATAAATATGTTACAAGTCGTTTTCCGTAATGTACATCTGCGTAACCGAGAAGATCTGCACATTTATTTTGACAATCTCTTCACTAGTCCGGATCTTCTAGTTCATTTGAAAAAATATGGATTAGTTGCTACTGGTACAGTCAGAGCAAATAGAGTCAATATCAAGAATGCAATCACAGAGAAAGATGAAAGAGGAAAATGGGAAGTGAAACACGAAAAAAAGAGTGGCATAAATTTCATAACTGTGATGGACTCCAAACCAGTTTCTTTATTATCCACTGCAGCTGGAGTAACGCCACTGGGAAAAGTAAAACGTCGTCAGAAAGGCAAGAAAGAAAAAAAAGAATTAGATTTTCCGAATGCGTTTATGCTGTATAATCAGTTCATGGGTGGCGTTGATTTACACGATCAACGATGCAATGCAATAGAGCCAATTATAAGATCGAAGAAATAGACGTGGATAATTTTTATTCGAATAATCCAATCAGCAATTGCTAATTCCACGATTTTATACAATCTTTTTCATGAAAAAAAAGAAAGTACAAAATTTTTGGCTATGTGCATCAGTAAAGATTATTTGAGCAAAGCAAGAACGGGGAAGTCGTCAGTACATGAGACAGAAAAACAACATTTACCTCGATACTGTTGCACCTCAAAATGCAAAATCCGAACAAGAAAATACTGCAAAACCTGCAAGTTGTTTTACTGCGACAATTGCTTCAAAAAAACGCATAGCACAAATTAAAAGTTTTTAATAAAAAGTTGAAAAAAGTGAATTATTAAATTGAAAAAACAAAAAAAAATTATAAAACAAAGCAAAAAACAAAAAAAAAATTAAAAATCACTGAAAAAATACAAAAAAAATGATTCTCTATATCGCCTACCTCCTCGTGGTGAGAATCGGGCAACTTTAATTCTTTAAAGGCTTAAGGCGACTTCATATTCTTAATTAGCGACCTCGAAAACCCCAGAGTAACAAATTTCATGCAAATCTGAGCAATTTTAAAAAATTAGTCCGCCATTTTGGATCCGCCATTTTGAATTTTTTTAATCTGACTTCGGGTTTGTAATCAGCGACCCCAAAAACCTCCGAGTAACGAGTTTCAACAGAATTCTATGAATTTCACAAAATTTGTCCACCATATTGGATCCGCCATTTTGAATTTTTTGAAACTGAATTCAGATTCGTAATCAGCGACCCAAAAAACTCCCGAGTATCAAATTTCAAGCAAATCGGAGTAAATTTTAAAAAATTCGTCCGCCATATTGAGTCCGCCATTTTGAATTTTTTGCATCTGACTTCAGATTCGTAATCAGCAACCCCAAAAACCTCCGTGTAACAAATTTCAATCAGATTTGAGCAATTTTGAAAAAGTTTGTGATCTTAAGTAAAATTAGGAAATTTTTTTGTCCTTCAAGCGCCATTTTAAATCCAAAATCGAAAAAAATAAAAATTATAAACGGCTAGTTTCCAAGTACAACTATTGGGAACACGTTTCTGATACTTTTTGTTTTATTTAAAAAATGTTATGGGGGAGAAAAAAATTATTTAAAAAAAATTGCATTCAATAAACTTGACTTTTTTTAGTATTTTTGAAAAAAAGAAGGGTTATATATCATTTTTTGAAAATTTTGACTACGCCATTCGAAAGAGCGACCCCAAAAATAGTAAGATAAGGGCTTTTCAAAAATTTTATGGCTTCTTTCTACAAATTGTAGGCGTTTGAAATTTATGTTGAAAAACAGCACATCTCGTCGTTAAAGGGTTAATTAAAAAAAGGACTCTATTCAATACTTTTTTTTACTGGGAATCTTGTAACTTTTTGCATCAATCTAATTGAAAATTGAAGTTACTATAAACATTCATGTACGTACGAGACCACTGTCAATTGTTCGGGGTGAAGTAAATATTTTCTACTTAATATAGGTATTGCAAAAAAATCAGAAACAGCACATTTTTTTACTTAATCTTTAACTTAATCAAAATATGTATTTTTTGTCACAAAACAATTTAAGTTATGATAATAACTTTATCATTTGTATAAATAAATATTATTCTTATTTACAAACGTATTAAGGATTTTACCACGGAAGAAGTAGTTTTCACAAATTTTGCACTTTACCAAACTTTATATACACACTGATTTAGATTTAAAATAAACTTATTTGTTCAAACAATTTTTAAACAAAGGACAATTGCTGTTTACTAACTTTTTACATAATGGAGTTTTTCCTAATTTTGCAATTCACCATACTTGAAATAAATATTTAACTTTAAATTAAAAATTAAATCATTATTAAATAATTAATAACCAAACTAATATTGTAACATTATTATTAATTATTATTGTTTTTCTCCCTTCTGAGAAAAAAACTAATTTAGATGAATTAAAATGAATTAACTTTTTTGGCAAGATTCAATTCATATTTATCGCTAAGCAAGATTCAGTGAAGCCCCGACGAATTGAAAAGATTAAATCTCAAAAGTTTGTCCATTGCATTGGGACGAATAGAGAGTTTGAAAGTTGAATACAGCTTTGTCGAATTCAAGAGAATTTCATAACACAGATCGTAATCATAAACGGAGGAATGAGTTGGAGAAGGATAAACAATATACCTATCCTTCTCCAACTCATGCTTCTGTTTACGTTTGCAATTGCGTTTACGACAATATCCTGCTCAAGCCTTGAGCAATGCATTGGTATGTCCGCTGGGGCGTGGCTTAATCATTTATCCTACAATTAGTAGTTCCATTTTTCACCACCATAGTTAAAAGTATTTCTGATTGATGGATGTTGGGCAATTATCCTAATTTTAGTAGTTACAAATATTATCACCAGAGAGCGATTTGTAGTAACGGACTTCCCAATAGCCTCTGCAGGGCTCTACAATGCAAACCTCTACAACAGAAGCTATCCATTGCCCAAGACATATTTGTCCACTATTATGAACATAACATGAATGGATTCCATTGTTTTTTAAATGCGACATTTTTATGTCAACTACTTAAGCATACTGAATAAAATTTTTTACTTCTTTGGCAACTGCCTAAGGCTATTCTCACAAAATGCTGTTTCTATACCCTTATGTTGAAAACAATATAATAATATAATGAAATTTATTGTGTTTTTATGTTCAACATAAGGACATAAAAAGAGCTTTTTGTAGACATAGCCTAACTCTAACCTTGTTGGGTGCAATTTTCCACCGGATGTGTTCTATTGAATTGAAAGTTTCATTATAATACTGACTAATAACATACGTAACATTGAAAATCTTCTAGGCCCAGATTAAAAATAATGCATAGGAAAATTTCGAAAATACATGTAGAACCAGCCAACTTCAATTGATACATGTATTAATATTCTCACCAGTTTTCTTACAAAATATAAAATAATTCTTGACAAAATATGAAGAAAATGGAATTTTAATAAAAGACACATGGATCTCTAGTCTAATTAACACAAAATTTTGCTTCTAAATATTATTTTTCATTAAGTAAAAAGTTAGGCATTTTTCGAGAAAAAAATACAATCAAATACAAATTAACATTTAAAAATTGAATAAATTTACAATTTTCTATTGAAACATTAATTTCTTTAAATGTCATGTCAATTTCTTTCCGATTATCTTTTCTTTTTTAAAATTATTGTCGAAAAAATGAATGTTTAAATAGATAGCATTAATAAACATTTTATCGACCCCACACAGCACATAAAATTTCCTGAATTTGTCCTGAATATTTCATTGAAAGATTCGAAATATTTCAATGAAAAGTCCATGAAATTGTGATGCAACAATGAAATGTCCGCCTATAAGAAATATTGCAGTTCCGATTGTACGAAGAATTTCAGCGAAATGTTCTCGAAATGTTCAGGAAATGTGAGGATGAAAAATTACTGACATATTATTTTTTAATATTTGCAAAATAAAAAAATGAAATATGTTACAAATTTTTAAGTGAAATATTTTGAAAAGATTATTCATTAAAAGTCTAGAAATATCGAAATGAAATATTTCTAAATTGTTAAAAATACATATTTAGGCAATATCATCCGCATATATTTGTGAAAAATAAAAAAAATGAATTTCAGAAATAAATTGCGGTAGTGATTGTGAAAATATGTGACAAAATTTGTGTATTTAGTTAAATAGTGACAATTTATTTATTATAAAGAAATTATTACACGTAAGATGCAACAAGCGAAACATGATTAATACACGGAGAGAAAAATCTGCCTTTTATAGTATAGAAAGGTTTACATTTAATACACAGAAATTTTCTATGCTATATAGGCATGAAATTTGAGTAATTATAGTACAATCGTATGTCTTTTTAGCATGAAACTTGTCTGTGCTAATAAAGTTTGTCATATAGCCTCTTATTACATACTTATTATACTTTTAATCCAACGGCGCCATGCGAAGATCGCACATAACATCATCCTACACGGAGAGAAAAAAAAAGTTCTAACTACTTTCCTTCAAGTCGTCATTCTGATCATATGAAGTCAAGTAGTTACAACCGGGGAGCCAGGCCGTTTTGACTTGGCTCTTTCATTGCTACTACTGTGTTCTCAGGCAATACCGACCAAGCGATTGGCCTATTGCTTTGACTTGCCGCTTGGCGTTTGCTTCTACCGGTCTTCACACATGTGTAAAGCAAAGTAGAAGCAAACGCCAAGCGGCAAGTCAAAGCAATAGGCCAATCGCTTGGTCGGTATTGCCTGAGAACACAGTAGTAGCAATGAAAGAGCCAAGTCAAAATGGCCTGGCTCCCCGGTTGTAACTACTTGACTTCATATGATCAGAATGACGACTTGAAGGAAAGTAGTTAGAACTTTTTTTTTCTCTCCGTGTACTATGTTTGCATAAGTTCTATGCTTTTTCGGGGATAGACTCTTGCAACTGGCGATTAGGCCACGCCCACCTTTACTTAATTGGAACTGCCCTAATCGCCAGTTGCAAGAGTCTATCCCCGAAAAAGCATAGAACTTATGCAAAAATAGTAGGATGATGTTATGTGCGATCTTCGCATGGCGCCGTTGGATTAAAAGTATAATAAGTATGTAATAAGAGGCTATATGACAAACTTTATTAGCATAGACAAGTTTCATGCTAAAAATTCTGAAATCTTTGCTCTATTAGTATGAAAAGTTTAAAGAAAAATAGCAGCAATCTATTTCATACTATAAAAGGCAGATTTTTCTCTCCGTATATATATGAACAGTAAGTATCAAAATACAATACTTAAAATAAATAAGATCCGCTCAGGTACGCAAGGATATACTATAAAAGTCAATTTGTTACAAATTTTACTTGACTGGACTTTCAATATTCGTAACTTTTTAATTGAATTCTTAATTTACTGCATAATTATAATTAAACAAAAAATTTTTTTCGCAGAATTGTCATTTGATAACATTTCTATTTTTCAGAGTATTCAAATGTTTA